CTGTCCCGCTGCCCATCTCTCTCGCTGTCCATCTGTCTCGCTGCCCGTCTGTCTCGCTGCCCATCTGGTTCTGTCTCGCTGCTCATCTGTCCCGATGCCTGTCTGTCCCACTGCCTGTCTGTCCTGCTGCCTATCTGTCTTGCTGCCCGTCTGTCCCGCTGCCCGTCTCTCTCGCTGTCCATCTGCCTCGCTGCCCATCTGTCCCGCTGCCCATCTGCATCGCTGCCTGTCTGTCTCGCTGCACGTCTGTCCCGCTGCCCCTCTGTCCCGCTGCTTATCTGCCTCGCTGCCCATCTGTCTTGCTGCAAGTCTGTCCCGCTGCCCGTCTGTCCTGCTGCCCGTCTGTCTCGCTGTCCAACTGTCTCGCTGTCCATCTGTCTCACTGCCCTTCTGCCTCGCTGCCCGTCTGTACCGCTGCTCGTCTGTCTTGGTGTCCATCTGCCTCGCTGCACATCTGCCTCGCTGCCCATCTGTCCCGCTGCCCGTGTGTCCCGCTGCCCGTGTGTCCCGCTGCTCATCTCTCACTGTCCATCTGTCTCTTTGCCCGTCTGTCCCACTGCTCGCTTGTCCCACTGCCCCTCTGTCCCACTGCCCCTCTGTCCCTCTGCCCATCTGTCCCGCTGCTCGTCTGTCTCGCTGCCCATCTGCCTCGCTGCCCATCTGGTTATTGCCCATCTGTCTCACTGCCCTTCTGCCTTGCTGCCCATCTGCCTCGCTGCCCATCTGTCCCGCTGCCTGTCTGTCTTGCTGCCCGCCTGTCTCGCTGCCCGTCTGTCCCACTGCCCCTCTGTCCCACTGCTCATCTGCCTCGCTGCCCATCTGTCCCTCTGCCCATCTGCCTTGCTGCCCGTCTGTCCCACTGCCCGTCTGTCCTGCTGCCCGTCTGTCTCGCTGCCCGTCTGTCCCACTGCTCATCTGTCCCGATGCCTGTCTGTCCTGCTGCCTATCTGTCTTGCTGCCCGTCTGTCCCGCTGCCCGTCTCTCGCTGTCCATCTGTCCCACTGCCCATCTGCCGTCTGTCTCGCTGCCCGTCTGTCCCACTGCCCCTCTGTCCCACTGCCCCTCTGTCCCGCTGCTCATCTGCCTCGCTGCCCATCTGTCCCTCTGCCCATCTGCCTTACTGCCCGTATGTCCCACTGCCCGTCTGTCCCGCTGCCCGTCTGTCTCGCTGCCCATCTGTCCCACTGCCCCCTCTGTCCCACTGCCTGTCTGTCCCGATGCATGTCTGTCCTGCTGCCTATCTGTCCTGCTGCCCGTCTGTCCCGCTGCCCATCTCTCTCGCTGTCCATCTGTCTCGCTGTCCATCTGTCTCGCTGCCCATCTGGTTGCTGCCCATCTGTCTCGCTGCCCGTCTGTACCGCTGCTTGTCTGTCTCGCTGCCCGTCTGCCTCGCTGCCCATCTGCCTCGCTGCCCATCTGCCTCGCTGCCCATCTGCCTCGCTGCCCGTCTGTCCCGCTGCTCATCTCTCACTGTCCTCCTGTTTCTTTGCCCGTCTGTCCCACTGCTCGCTTGTCCCACTGCCCCTCTGTCCCACTGCCCATCTGTCCCTCTGCTCATCTGTCCCTCTGCTCATCTGTCCCGCTGCTCGTCTGCCTCACTGCCCATCTGCCTCGCTGCCCATCTGTCCCGCTGCCCATCTGCCCCGCTGCCCATCTGTCCCGCTGCCCGTCTGTCCCGCTGCCCGTCTGTCTCGCTGCCTGTCTGTCTTGCTGCCCGCCTGTCTCGCTGCCCGTCTGTCCCACTGCCCCTCTGTCCCACTGCTCATCTGCCTCGCTGCCCATCTGTCCCTCTGCCCATCTGCCTTGCTGCCCGTCTGTCCCACTGCCCGTCTGTCCTGCTGCCCGTCTGTCTCGCTGCCCGTCTGTCCCACTGCCCCTCTGTCCCACTGCTCATCTGTCCCGATGCCTGTCTGTCCCGCTGCATGTCTGTCCTGCTGCCTATCTGTCCTGCTGCCCGTCTGTCCCGCTGCCCGTCTCTCTCGCTGTCCATCTGTCCCGCTGCCCATCTGCCCCGCTACCCGTCTGCCCCGCTACCCGTCTGTCCCGCTGCCCGTCTGTCCCGCTGCCCATCTGCCCCGCTGCCCATCTGTCCCGCTGCCCGTCTGTCCCGCTGCCCGTCTGTCTCGCTGCCTGTCTGTCTTGCTGCCCGTCTGTCTTGCTGCCCGTCTGTCCCACTGCCTCTGTCCCACTGCTCATCTGCCTCTTTGCCCATCTGTCCCGCTGCCCATCTGCATCGCTGCCTGTCTGTCTCGCTGCCCATCTGTCCCGCTGCTGCCTTGCTGCCCCTCTGTCCCGCTGCCCCTCTGTCCCGCTGCTCATCTGCCTCGCTGCCCATCTGTCCCTCT